TTTCCATAGCTGCTTTCAAGATTGTCTCCTTTTCTTTGATTTTGATGAGCTTGATTATGATATGCCTCAGTAATTTTCTTATGGGGTCTATCTTTCCTGGGGTTCATTGAGCTTCTTGAATGATTATCGTTTCACTTTTCAGGATGTTAGAGAAATTTTCTTCCAGAAGCTCCTCAACTATCTCTTCTTTGGATTTGTGTTATTTTTCCTGTTCCAAAATGTCGATAATTCTTTAGTTATTCCTCTTCATGTTGTCTATTATGAATCTTAGACCTTCTTCAGATATTTTTATCATTTTTTTCTGCTTGAACCTCTATCATAGTGGTATTGAGAGTTTTGTACTCCAGTTCACTAGTTTTACCTTCCATCTCTTCTATTCTACTCCTTTCCCCTTTCAGTGTGTTGTTTGTTTCTGATATTCGATTATTAATTGTTTGAACCTATTTCTGTAAGTTTTTAATTTCCAATGCTGTAATAACCTTATTTGATTCTTCCTGTAGCACTTTCCTGACTTCTTCCTTATTTTTCTCAATTCCATTGTAAAGAGTTTTGAAACATTTATTAACCATTTTTCTGAATTCCTTCTCAGGCATTTCCAAGGCCTGCCCACCTTCCAGAATGGAGTCCAGGTCTACCTCTAGGTCATTTGTCTCAGTCATTTTATCTTGTTTCTGGATGTGTGCTGATATGATCATCTGTTTTTGCTTCTTGGTCATGTTTAGTGTTTAGCTGTGGCCTTAACACTTAATTGAGTGTGTGTGTTTTCTATTTTTTATGCTTTCAGATTGCCTCCATGTAGATATAATCAGGAAGTGGGATTCCCTTTATACTTTTCTTATTGCTTAACTCAGAGTAACTTCTGCAGGTGCTGTCTGCCTCCCTGATGTATAGCAGTTGGTATTGGTTCTTGCCTGGATTTTTAGGGTATGATTGTGTCTTAACTATATGGCAGCAAACACTGTCTCTTCTTGGGTAGTATAGGGAGAGAAAAAGCCCCCTATAGGTAAAAGGGGGGACAGAAACAAAACACAACAGAACTAAAAAAAAAAAAAAAACAACAACCTCAGAATCAATACATGGAAAAAGGAGAGGAGAGAGAAAAGAAAGAAAGAAAGAAAGAAAAAATTCTGCAGCCTTATATGAGTATGACTTTAACATCTGCTTTCAGCTTCTTGCCTTCAAGGCTGTTTGATAAATTTCAAGATACCACTGCTGGTTGTTTTTTTGTGTCCCAAATTTTACCCCTTTTTTTCATTTGTAACATTTAAACTCTCTCCCTCTCCACATCCCCTATTCTGGCCTTTTCCCTATTAATAAACAGTTCAGGGCCGGGTGTGGCTCTTTTGAGGTGCCTGCTTATAGTGTATTGGTTATGAATCAGGTTGCCAACTCCAAGGCCGGCAGTTTGAAACCACCAGCTGTTCCGCAGGATAAAGACTAGGCCTTCTGCTTCCGCAAAGATTCACAGCCTCGGAAACCCTGTGCAGGGTCATTACGAGTCTAACTGACTCCATGTCACCCAACAAAAAAGAAAGCAAGTCTCTCTAAATGCTGAGAGGATCTGTGCACATGTGTGGTGGAAGAATCCTCCAGTGGTGGGGGTGGGGGGTGTCCACTCACTCAGGCACCCCTCTAGTCACCAGAATGGAGGTACACAGAATGCTAGAGGCCAATGAACAGATTTTTTAAAAATCAGAACAAAACAAAACAGTGAATATTGTCACCTCTGCTCCCAAGTTCCCACGGTCATTAATTCCTTGTGGGTCTGTTCTCCTCCACTTGGTCTTGCCGTTTGGTCTCACCCAAGTTGTTGGCTCCAGGCCACTGAGCCTGACTGATTCTCAAGTATGAGATTTATTGCTTCCACTAAAAGTTCCACTAGCTATAAGCCTTCAAACTTTTAAAATATTCCTACCTATGTGGTTCAGAGTTTTGGAGCTCTCCCCTGAACCTGCTTCATCTATTATTCTATGATATTGCTAATGGCAATCTTTACTGTACCTCTACCCTATCTGCCAGCTCCATGGATTTATTTTTAAATGATGACTTTCTCAGTTTCCTTGGTGAAAACACAAGGGCCTTTTTTCTCTGTCTTTGTCTTGAAATACTAATGGAAGATAAATTTCCATCTGAACAATGATACCAATTATTGTTTGACACTTATCAGCTTGGCAGTTTATAATGTCCTTGAAGCCTTTGTTACATTAATATATGTTGTTGTTGTTAAGTGCTGTTGAGTTGGTTCTGACCCAGAGAGACCCTACATATGGTTTCGGAGGAGTGACTGGTGAGCTTGAACAACCGACCTTGTGGTTCAAACTGACTCAGCAGTCCAGCACATTAACCCACCAGGAGTCCATATTAATATGTAGATGATTTTAATGAAAGTTTCTTTATTAACTATTAAGGGAGAGGACAAAATGACTAACGGTGGTGGTGGTGGTGGTGGTTGTGTATCATTGAGTTGGTGCTGATCTTGTACAGAAAACTTTATGGGAGCAGAAAGCCTCACCTTCCTCCCATAGGGTGACTGGTAAATTTGAACTTCTGACTTTTCAGTTAGCAATCCAACTCATAACTTACTACACAACCAGGGATCCTTAAATGTCTAATAAGTATGCTGTATTCTAGTTTATCTAGAAATTGTACAATAAAGCTTTATTTATTTTGCAGCTTGCAAGTCAAAACAAAACCGGATATGCCTTATTATTCCATGGGTGTTGTGTATAGTAACCATTTTAATTTTTTCACTAGGTAAGTGACTTAACTCACAAATTTTCTATGGTTCATCATATTCAACAGGTCCAAATATTTATATTATCAAACCTTCAGTGGAATCTCTGTTAGAGTGTAATTATTTGTCAGATTTTGCCAATTTCCTTATCTCTCTCAAAAATTTATGTAGGTTTGATAGAGGATATTTCTACATACATATGTATGTATATTGTAAGTATATCCATGAATATAGTAGAGCATTCAGGTAGTAATCTTATTAAAACTCTTAGATATAATCAAACACCTTGAGAAAATAAATTGCTGGGCTTGGAAGTTCAGGACTGAAGTCTCAGGAATATCAAGGTCAACTGGCACAATATAGTTCACAAAGAAAATTTTCTACATCCTACTTTGATAATTAGCAACTGGGGTCTTAAAAGCTTTTGATTGACCATCTAAGGTGCAGTTGTTGGTCTCTCCCTATCTGGAGCAAAGAAGAGTGAAGAAAAGTAAAGACAAATGGAAACAATTAGCCCAAAGAACTAATGGACCAGAAGAACGTCCAACCCCGTGACCCTGAGACCAGAACTAGATGATGCCTGGCTACTACTACTGACTACTCTGAAAGGGATTACATTAGAAGATCCTGGATAGAGTGGGACAAAAATGTAGAACAAACCTTAACAGTTTAAGATCAGGCCTGCTGATCAGATACAGACTTGTGAAATCCCCAAGCCTATGACCCTTAATTACACTTTAGGTCTGGAATTGAACTCACCTCTGTGATAGTTTTCAGCCAAAGAGTAGACAAATGAAAAATAACACTAGAAAGGTATGCATTCCTTAGAAGATTCTCATTTGAGATTTAAAGGGCATCTACCCAAGGACAAAGTTCAAAACAGCTTAGGAAAAATGGAGGAATAGAAATGGGAAATAAAGAAATAAAGTGAGCTGAGGAAAATTACATTGTGGGGTTGCAATCAGTGACATGAAACAAAATGTGTATGAATTGCTGAATGGAAAAATCAATTTGATCTGTAAACATCCACTCAATCCACAATAAGTTTTTTTTGTTTTTTTTTAAAGAAAGACTCTAAATTTCAGAATGGGGTCATTTTCTTGACTTCATAACAGAATTGATATTTTCAAGAAAATATTTTTAAATTCTCAGATGACCACTTTGTTGTTAAGTACCGTCGAGTTGTTTCCTACCCATCACAAACCTGTGTAGGGTTTCCAAGGAGCAGCTGGTGAGCTTGAACCATCAACCTTGCAGTTCAAACTGACTTTGCAGTGTGGCACATTAACCCACAATTATTTTATTGCTATTGAGAGCAATGTTTCTGAGGTAATTATCTCAAGTGTTATAGAATTGATCCATAGCATATCCTTGGCTATAATCTTTACTGAAGCAGATCCACAGTCCTTTCTTCCAAGGTACTTCTAGGAGAGTTTGAACTACCAACCTTTAGGTTACTGCTGAGTGTAAATTGTTTATCCCATTTACAAGACAATGTTGTTGATGTCAGTTCTGACTCATGGTGACACTGTATGAGGTTTCCAAAGCTTTGAGTCTTTGTGGAAGCATAAAGCCTCATCTTTGAGTGCCTGGTGGATTCAAACTGTGAACTTTGTGGTTCGAAGTCAATGACACAGTTATAATTATAAAAATGATTTTTAAGATAATAATGCAAAGGCCTAAGTGAGTAAGTTACTTCTGAAAAATATAAGTGCAATGTCCAGGATTGAGATTTTTGTCTGTCTGACTGTCTGTATTTTAGCCACCAGCAACACTGCCTTATAATTGTAGTGATTTTTTACTTGGTTATCTTCTGGATCAGAAATAACTTTTGCTTCTAATCATTGTTCTTTTGAAATATGTATTCATTGTTATCACATTATGTTAAAAGAGGAAAAAAAAGAAAGAATAACACAATTCACCTATTGCACAATTAATTTTTTTTTCTGTTAGAGTGGCAAGATTTGTAAAACTGAAGTTATAAAATCACTTTGTGAAATGAATTCAATGATAAATTTTAATTCTAGAAGTCATGAAAACATTGTTAAGTATAGACAACTGAACCACTAGTCTTTACAGGCAAGAAAATGAATTCATGCATCATGTCATGAATAAATCTAATTTCCCTGATACTAAAAAGTAAAAACTTTTTAAAAACAGAATGAGTAGAAACCTTTTCAAGTTATTTTTCATATGATCATTTCTTTTTTTGTTTTTGTTTTTTTAAACAGTAACTGATAGAATGCATCTAAAATGTCCCAAAATCATGGCATGTTCAGGTGATTGGATTGAAGCAGAAAAGAAGTGTTTTTATTTTTCTCTTGATACCAGAAATTGGTCAGCCAGTAAAAGCTTTTGTAGCTCACATGGATCGGAACTTGCTCAGATTGATACACAAAATGATTTGGTAAGAAAGGGGGAGGATAGAAACTAAGTTTGTACAAAGACAATATAAATAAAAATAACTAATACTTTATGACACTGTTCTAACCAAAATACTCCATGTAATCTTCAACTATCATTTATAAAACAGATATATTCGTATCCCCATTTAAAATATTTTGAAAGTAAAGCAAAGAGGAATTATATAACCCAGTTAGTGTCACAGAACCGTAAGTTACCAAGCTGAGGTTTGAATTCTGACTCTTAACCACTAAGCATATTACTTATATAGTTAAATATTTGTGCTAACTGTTCTCAGTTCAATATATTTTATGTTTTACATCTACCTTACACAAACCATAAAACAAAAAAGTGATATAATAATAAAATATAGATTTTGGAGCTTGTATAGAGCATATACATACACTTTGATGAATCAGAACAATGGATGAAAGATGTAAGAGCAGACAGAAAATGAGGGAATTGAACACAGGGTATAGAAAGAATTTGGTTTCTGTGCTTTTAGTAGAGAAAACCTGACTAATAGGTTGGTTGTTTGTGATCCAATAGCAAGAAGCCAATAGAAGAAACACAAAGTCCATTGTTGTTGTTAACTGTTGTCTAGCTGATTCTGACAAATAGCAACTCTGTATAGGGATTCCGTGAAGCAACTGGTGAGTTTGAACCACTGAGGTTCAACCAACTTTGTAGTCTAGAGCTTTAATCCCAGTGCCACACCAGGACTCCTAAAGTCCATTACTTAATTCTTTTTTTTTTTTTTTTTAAATAAACCTTATTCAAGGAAAAAAGAGCTCTGGTAATGGAGTGGTTACCAGTTGGTCTGCTAATGCCAAGGTCAGCAGTTTGAAACTACCAGCCATTTGGTGGGAGAAAAATGAGGCTTTCTGCTCCAATAAAGATTTATAGCCTCAGAAATCTTATTCAGGGTCTCTATAAGTCAGAACTGACTCCACAGCACATAACCATCACCATTCAACCAAATACTAGCTTGATCTCTGATTCTATGACAAAGCACAGAACAGCATTGAAATTCTTATTGTATTATATATTCAAAGTAGCTTAGATCTAAGTTTTGAAATATGAACAGCACTTACACTCCTAATTAAACTTTTTTCTCATACAAGCTTTTCTGTTACTTTTAGGAGAGGATCTATGCACAAAACAAAATATTTGTTAGTTCTTTCTCTCACTCAAAGTACAGCCTATATAATTTGCTATAGACACATCAATTTATAATCTTTGTTCATTCTGTGACTAGAACACATAGATGCTTGAAACATTTGAGCATGAGAAGGAAGAAGTTAGATAAGCTTTTCCTCATTGATCTCTTATTTGATTGATGGAGGTTGCTTTTAGCAAAAGTGAGAGACAGTGTAGTGGAGAGAATTTAAATGATTTGATTAAAGGCATTCAATTACTTAAGAGATAAAAAACAAGAAGTAAATATCAACTATCAGGACTGCCTTTTGTAAGTTTGCCTTACACCACTTTATTTTTATGACTTCCATTAGTACCTGTTTTGCTAATTGAAAGAAACCCAAAGAGAATTTTCACATTTATGACAAAAGACGAATAGCAAAATCATGTTCATCATTTGTTTTTTAGGGAGCTTTAAAGAGGCAACGTGCACCTGGAGTATTGTTGTCCAAACTCATTCCCCAAGAACTATACTCAGTATCTCAGCAACCAGCATATTAATATTATTTTAGGTTTTATTTGTTAATTAGTATGATTTGCTAGATTCTTTTCTGGGTCTGAGAACTCTCAAATATTTTTGCAATATAAATGAAAGGTAACAAATAGCTCCTTCGCTTTACACGAGTTCTGCTTAGGAACATTTTGATAGAAAAGCCTCTGCTTTCAGATGACAGGGGAAACCTATATTTGTATGTTGTTACTGTAAAGGTATTCCCCCCAAACCCAAACCCAACATCACTGCCATCAGTCCATTCTGATTCATAGTGACACTATGTTAGGATTCTGAGGCTGTAAATCTTTAAGGGAACCAAAAGCTTCCTCTTTCTCCCAAGAATCAGCTGGCGAATTCAAACAGCTGATCTTGAGATTAGTAGTCCAAGGCATAACCCACCACATCACCAGGGCTCCTTTTATAGCGGTATTGTTATTATTGTTGAGTGGGTTTATGTTCCATTTGAGGATTTCCAAAGAGCAGCTGATGAATTTGAACCACCAACATTCTTTTTTTTTTTTTTTTAAAAAAAGACATTTATTCAGCGTCATGATCAGACTATTACATTTAGCAATCAACAGCATGGGTGTGGAAAAAAAAAAAAATCTACATTAAAACCCTTTGTTGGAATGCTTTACACTTTCCACAGAACTGAAACTAAAATAACCTGTTATACAATTAGTCACAATTACAGTCCTTGAGTTTTTTTTGTTTTGTTTTGTTTTGTTTTGTTTTTTGCCCATACACATGAGTATTGTCTAAAACATGTCTTCTTTGTAGCAGATAGGCCCTGCCACATTGTGCTTGGCTGAGTTCACAAATCTGTTGTAACCTGTAGCTTCCCTGTCACTTCTCTGGCTCTCCTCTCCTGCTAAGCTTTGTTTCCTGGCAATCATTAAAACCTTCTGCCACTCCCATAGCTACTGCTGCTGCTTGAACCACCATAGCCACCTTGGTTTCGTGGTTTGGCAAAATATTGACCTCCACCACCATAAGGGTCAGAGCTTCTGCCTCCAAAATTTGAAGACTGATTATTGTAATTGCCAAAATCATTATAGCTTCCACTGCCTCCAAAATTGCTTCTATCATTACCAAATCCATTATAACCATCCCCACTGCCTCCATATCCACCACCACCTCGGCTGCCACCAAAGCCACCTCGTCCGCTGAAGTTTCCTCCACGACCAAAGTTGTCATTCCCACCAAAACCACCTCCACGGCCACCACCGAAGTTTCCAGAACCACTTCGACCTCTTTGACTGGAGGAGGCACTGGCCATCTCTTGCTTTGACAGGGCTTTCCTTACTTCACAATTGTGGCCATTCACAGTATGGTACTTCTGGATAACAGTCTTATCTACAGAGTCATGGTCATCAAAGGTTACAAATGCAAAGCCCCTCTTCTTGCCACTGCCTCTGTCTGTCATGATTTCAATCACTTCAATCTTTCCATACTGCTCAAAATAATCTCTTAGGTGATGCTCTTCGGTGTCTTCTCTTAATGCCACCAAACAAAAATCTTTTTCACAGTTAAGTGGGCACCTGGTCTTTGAGAGTCTTCTCTTGAAACGGCCCTCTTTGGTTCCACCACTCTTCCATCTACCTTGTGTGGCCTTGCATTCATGGCTGCATCCACCTCCTCCACAGTAGAGTAAGTGACAAACCCAAAGCCTCTGGAGCGCTTAGTATTTGGATCTCTCATCACCACACAGTCCGTGAGCATCCCCCATTGCTCAAAATGGCTCCTCAGGCTCTCATCTGTTGTTTCAAAGCTCAAACCTCCGATGAAGAGTTTCCGCAGCTGTTCGGGCTCTTTAGGAGACTCTGACTTAGACATGACGGCGGTGAGGGGGAGAAAAAAAAAAAAAAGATGATGCTTCCTCCGTGGTGTCCACGAGCAGAAAGGAGTAGCCCACCAACATTCTTGTTCAAATCAACCTTGGGGTTCAGTGTATTATCCCAAGGTTCCACATCAGGACTCCATGGTTGTTGTTGTGGTGGTGGTGGTGGTGTCGCGGTGGGGTCTGTTCCAACTCACAGAGACCCTGCATAGGGTTTTTGAGTCTGTAAATCTTTATGGTAGCAGAAAGTCTCATCTTTCTCCCAAGGAACGGCCAGTAATTTTGAACAGCTGACTTTGAAGTTAGCAGCCCCACTCATAACCACTATGCTGCCAGAGCTCCTTAGAGGCATTGTTATTGGTTTGTTATTATTAAGTGCCTTCGAGTCAGTTCAGACTCACAGTGACCCTGTATAGGGTTTCCGAAGAGTGGCTGGTGAGTTTGAAATGTCAACCTTGCAGTTCAAACCAACCTAGTGGTCTAGTACATTATCCTACAGAGCCACACCAGAACTCCATCGAGTCATGAGTATATGCAAATTATAAAATATAATATGGTTGGGTTAATAAGCGTGTTTAGCAACCTGCTCGAAAACATTAAGTAATGGATGATGCCCTGTGCTTTGTGAAAGGAATTTTTGAAGAACCACACAGGAACTTCTTCACACTGGATTGGATTGAGCAGTGAAGAAGGAAATCCTTGGAAATGGACAAACGGAACAATATTCAATTCTTGGTGAGCCTTGTACTCAGTTGGAAAATATTTTTTCTTGTATTGTGTAAAAAATAATTGCAATTATTCTGAGTTGAATTATTTAAGAAAATCTTTTTATTTTCTCTATGTTCAACAGCACTTAACAACAATTACCTTCCTTAGTCTTCACTTTGAGATATGTACCAATTCACATTTAAACCCAGATACCTTCAAGCAAGCCATCATCATCTGATTCTACTAACTGATACAGAGTGAAATTGTTCATACTTTTACATTTAACATTTATCATCAACTTTATGTTAATATACTCTCCTTTTGCTAATTCAAATTCAATTATTTGGAATCTATCAAGTCAAAGCTCATGTATTACAGATGTATCTAACCACTTTCATTTATTTATCTCAGACATCTTGAATAGTTGGAGACATTATCGTTGTCTCTATATTCCCAAACTTCTGTTATAAACAGTATAATATATTTAGGGAGTCTTTTTATGATTGAATGTATGTGTTATTTTCCTTGCTGCTACTGCCTCTGTTGTGTACCCTCAAGTCAGCCCCAACTCACAGCAACCGTGTATGGGGTTTCTGAGACTGGAAATCTTTAAGTGAGTAGAAAGTCTCATCTTTCTCCCAACTATTCTTCTTAAGTTCATGTCATTTTACTTTAAAATAAGAGCCATACTTTCTTTCTTACGTATTTATGTGGTTGTGTGCCATTGAGTCAGTTCAGACTCATAGTGATCCTGTATAGGTTTTCCAAGGAATAGCTAGTGAGTTTGAACCGAGGACCTTGCTGTTCAAAGCAACGTTTCAGTTTAGTGCTTATCCTATGGTGCCACACTAGGATTCCAGGCACTCCTGCTTTATTATTTCCACAAATGCTGAACTGAAAACAAAAAGGGCTGGGAATAGGAACAATCATACTCATAATCAAATTAGTAAGATAGAGCCAACTATATTATCAAAAATAAAAAAGAGGAACACTTTGGTAAATAACAGAATCCATTAATTAAAAAGCAACAAAAAAAATGTATTAAAATCAGTGTCTTTGATTTCTATCTCAGTGTTTCAACAGTACCAAATGAATTTAAGCTTTACTGGTGGTG